TTAATTTTATAGCAAGCCTATGGGTTCCAAGAGCACTAACAATTGATTTAATTTGGAAGTGTCTTTTTGTGGGATATGCTTATATCTTTAACAAGGCTTTTTTTTACTACCTCCATCCCAAAATAAGTGCAGCCATAGATATTCGTATCCAGCGTTTTGACCGTCCGTCTTATTTAAAAATTTTATGAAAAAAATTAAAAATATTAATCACACATAAAGTACTATTCATGTATTATCATCTAATAACAATAAAAATACTAATCATAATTGTTTTTCAAATAAGACGAACGGTCAAACGTTGAGCATGAACAATGTTAAAACTGTACTTATTTTGGGACGGAGGGAGTACTGATGATACTTTTCACTAGGTGTGTTCTGTATGTAAAAATTGATCCGATTCACACTCCAGTGCACATTACTTGAGAAGTGTGTACGGCCATGTATGGTTATGAATATGAACACACACTTAATTAATAAGTTGAGGATTCTAATTTTCAAATATCTCCAACAAATTAAATTTTATCTTTGTTTTGAACACATTTTTTATTGATTTTGGTACTTTAGTTTGTCTTATAACTTGTACATCAATTCATTAGTTTCAACCATGTTCCTCCAAATAAATGGGATAGCACCATATATGAAGTTCATTAATATGATTTATCTCTAATTAGTTTGAGTCCCACTATTTACACGCTATGTGGGCTCATTTGTGGACCTGAGAATCATGCATGACTGCATGCTCCTTGCTGACTCGTTAACCAACCGAAATCCTTTGAAAAAGTGGATATAGCAGTAAAAAAAATGTATGTGGATATTGCTAGCATATTATTTTTTACGGATATTTTCTTATGTTAATATATTCATTAAACAAATTATTGTATACTTTTTATATAATATACAGTAAAATTTAATCTATTTTCAGGGGAAAAATAATCTCAAAGTTAGCTTATTTCTAATTAAGATCCCAACAAACTTAACTTTTGATACATAATTAAGCAACAAGCACAGATCATCATAGATATGATCTGCATCATATATATCATGGAGTATCAACAGCTTATATCATCAACATACACAGGGATATTCTTCCATCACTAACTCTCTGGAGACCTGACTGGGGAATCTGGTTTTCCTTTATATACAAATTAAAGGGAACTGGAAATTTTAAATCTGGCCGACAAGACACGATTGTTTATATTACACAGAAGACTCATTAATTTTACACAAATCATCCTACAAGGGAAGGAAAAAAGGAAGTCTAAGTCTATGACACGACCTATGTGCGATCCACTCAGTATGGCACTATCTCTGCCAAGAGAACACAAATAGAATAATCAGAAATTACTACATCATGTAATTGGTTTTAGACATCCTTAATTATCTTTTATTAGTTTGTGGCGGCAGTTATGTGTTAATCTAGATAAGTAGAGATAGTGAAATCATTTTAAGGGCTAAATGTGAATGCTGGCGTTATAGGAATAGCTACTAGACATCATATCACGTATGATATTGTGAATGCTCATTAGGCAAATATAAGCAAACGAATATATCTAAATTAAAAAGAAAAACTGACATGACAATTAAGCAAACGCACCCCAATAAGAAGAATCAATTCTAGGATTAGTGCATAACTGACATGGAAACCATTCAATAATTTAATCAGCGTAGACTTGCTTAGTCTAGCTTAGAGAGCCTTATCAGAACCTTATAAGCTACTCCCTCCGTCCCATAATATAAGGGATTTTGAGTTTTTGCTTGCAACGTTTGACCACTCGTCTTATTCAATTTTTTTTGAAATTATTATTAATTTTATTTGTGACTTACTTTATTATCTACAGTACTTTAAGCACAATTTTTCATTTTTTATATTTGCAAAAAAAATTTGAATAAGACGAGTGGTCAAACGTTGTAAGCAAAAACTCAAAATCCCTTATACTGTGGGACAGAGGGAGTAGCAACTTATTTTATTTAAACCGCACATATCAATATATATTAAGCCAAGTAGCTACCCAGCCGTTGGATAAGCACATAAAATCTTTTAGGTTTAAAACAACTGGAATTTGCCCTTAATTAGCAAATTAACCAAGTGGTTTTATGTCAGATCAAGTTCGTATTGGTAATTTTACTGTTTACAAACTTTATTTCGAAATAATCCACTAAATTATGCCAAATTAATATTTTATTAAAGTGGTTGACTATATCTAAAACTTCAGAGAAATATATGCCATAGTTCATTTTGTAATCTTATTACTAGTATATATAATTGGTAGGCTTAGCTCAGGAAAACAAAATCGTATAGTACAACTGGTAGCTTGACCTCCTGATGGTCAATATATATGTACCAAGTCAAGCACAGTCAAAAGCAAAAATTGACCACTGTTGACTCTACCTCACTAAAACCAAGCCTGTCGCACACCTTGCCAAATTGGTTAATTTCTTCAAACTTCCTACAATCCACAAAATCATGCAAGCTCACCATTTGACAAGTTCAATTCGGCCATATTTTGGAGAATAGAAAAGCTAGAACCGAAATAAATCAAATTACCACCCCTTTTTTCAGGCATGATCCTGGGTAGGTTACACGTAACCATGAAGGCTACAAGGCCGGATGGATACCAATAATGGGAAAATGAAATAAATGATTCGGTGCAGTCTGCGCTGGAAGCCTTGTGAACAAACTCCCTTTCTTGACAAGTCCTCCACTGCCATTTGTTATTGAGCAATCCCTGTTAGTGATCTGCAAACTACTGTATACACCCCCATCACTACTTTGCTTAAAACAAACACATACATTGACACTTGATTAGGGATTAAAAAACTAAGTCATGGTGGACTTAAACACTGACCTTTTCTTTTCATTCCTGAAGTTTACATTTAGAAAATTCAAAGTGGATTCGTCCCTACAATTGCTATGACATGATAATATTTTACCACTCCCACACATTCAGACTCTACTAGTGTAATCGATATCCGACACGGAAGTGCTTTTAATAGGAAATCAATGAAGAGATTTGTTATTACTCCCTCTATATAAAAATCCAAGACACTTATTTTGTCACCAAGATAAAGGATGAATTAACTCATCCTCTATGGACAAAACCAATTAACTATATACATACATACAACTAATGAGTATTAAGATAATTGTTTAGGTTTCGATCAACAATTTAATTTAGTACTTTAAAAACATGTTTCCATTTCTCTCTCTTAATAAGTGTGCGTTAAAGTGAGCACACTCGTGAATATGTGCGTATACGTCTTGTGCGTGTTCATTTTTCTTGTAATGAATAACTAAATATGTACTATGTTTTGTGGCACCAAATCATTTTGCACTACCAAAGCTTAAACTGATTACAAGGTACAGCCAGCCAACACATTCCTGAATTTCATTTTCCTTTTGAATGAAAGCTTACACTACTATGCTGGACTTTGCAAGGAAAGCGTACTTGGCGGTAGGCGCTTTCAGGGATGAGGGGGTGGGACCCCGGTAGATGCGCCAATGGGAGACCGCTTCGGTCCACTTTGATTTTGTTTAAAGATTCGTGCTCCTTTAATCCGTATCAATCTAGCCCCCTTTTGCTCAGGCAAATGCCTGGTCGTAGTTGTTTTACCGGCCACTTGCTTGACAGGTTTGCACAGACGTCAAGGCTCTGCCGACTCGCCTTTGCCTCCTTTGGTTGGTGCCATTCTGACAAGATGACAATCATCCATGGATGCCTGTGTTCTTCTGCAACTTAACACATTTTGATTATCCATTTTTTAAAAGTAAATATCCTAGATTTGATATACTGTATTTGAGATAGCTGGAATTGATGGATTATCTGATTTTTATGATAGCTATTTAAGTACAACGTTAAAAAGTTACTTTAGAAAAGTATCCCTTGAAAATTGTATATGACGATCATCCATGGATGACAATCATCTATGGACTATGGATGCCTGTGCTCATCAGCAACTCATTTGGCTATCCATTTTCTGGTCTAAAGATGGTGCTCCATTCGTCTCAAAATCCTATCCCAAAATAAAATTATTTTTTACTCCTTCTATTTGTCTCAAAATAAGTTCATTTTCAAGCAATCATTACATCGGAGTTTATGAAAATATAGGATAACTGTTTTGAGAGTAAATAAAAAGAGAAATAATTACAGTTGTATTCAATAAAATAGAAAAAATAGGGGTATAGTAGTTTTTTGGTTTTGTATTGATACATACGGAATGGATAAAATATGAACTTATTGAAACGGAGGCAACATATTTTCATGTTGAATAGCATGGAAAATGTTGGGATAGAACTGTTAGAGAAACCACATTTGACGTGTAGATTGAAACTGCTGACAAGTTAATCTGGCTTTGTAAAGAACAAAGTGTACATAAGTAGGCAAAAGAAAAGGCATGCAGAGAAGAGCAACAACCTAGCTCTCAACCAACAACCAAATGTCCGTTTCTCTAAGCTGATAATGTTTTGATGCATACGACCACAAAGGAAATGAAAGGAAAAGATGATGACGGAATCAATCTATCATTGCAACCTTTGAATTGGGACTGCAAAGAAGTGGGCAGCCAGCACAAGCGTAGGCTCTAGACATGGTCATGCTGTCCAATGCAGCAATCCTACCATCTGCACAAATGACAATCTCTAGCTGAGACAGAATAGAAACTTGTGGATTTACATTGTACCGTTGCCTCCCAAAGGCATAGCCAGATAGATTCACAGATCATCATAGCTCTTCATGTCAAGCATAAAATTTACATCCAAGGGAGAGTGCCCTTGTTCTCTCTTTACAGAGCAAACTTTCATCAGCACGTCACAAATAAAGGTCCAAAGATGAAAGCATTCTTTCGGGCATTACATCAGATCAAGCCGCAAAGGAGGATGCACATGAATGACGAGTGCAAATGTGTAATGGTTTCGTGGGGCATGGGATGATGGGATAAAGCAAACTGATCAAGAAAGCAAATCAATGATGCAGATTGTACTAAAGCCATTCAGATCAAATGTATGAATTGAAGGTGAAATGTATTCCATGCAATGCAGTTTGCATAATGTATGTGCTGTGTGAAATGAAGATGAAACAATATAAGGCATAATCAAGGAAGGGTCAGCTGCCACTCTAGTTTACATATACAGTTTAATTTGTCCTAGGATCTAGAACTTTGTGCATACATTCAATAGAGAATGTTATGCGACTTGACATCTGATAATCTGAATACATAGGAGTCGAAACTAATGAGAACATGGAAATACATGTCCTTCCATCATGTGCACAAAAGTATCTTATAAATATCGGGGAAAATTTTCCAGATTTGCACAAAATTCGGACCATGAGAAAGCATTTTCCTTTCCAAGGTGCGTCTGGACCTCTCTACTCAGTATTTCAATAATTCAAACACATGGGCCTGGAAAGGAAGAAAAGGTATTACTTCTCACATGCTGTTTAACATAAGTTCATAACTGGAAAAACATCCTGATTTCTAACTTAAGTAAAGGTCTCAAACTCAATGTAATTAGCTAAAGAAGAGAACTACTTAGAAAAATTGACAAATTTAAAGGAAACACAATCAATACAACACCTTTTACAAGTAGTTGATGACAGTTAATTAGATTACAGAGCCAGTAGGTGACAAGAAAGAACCAAGGAGGGATAAATCCAATTTCCCAAGTACCACTATCAACTATAGATCACCAAAAGATTCATATTTATTTGGCTGGCAGTCGACGGTTAGTTCTAATTTGGTCCCACACCAAACCTCTCCTACCACAGCCCATCACATAAAATTCCAGACCAACACGTGCACCCTTTATCCTCACTATGGATCACTGATTTGGCCAAATTCAAAAGTCATGTTAGTTAAAAAATTATTCAATACACTCCAATACAAAGAAACTAATTCCCATTGCAGCACATAGGAACACTACTGTAGCTTGTAGGTAGTGTTATCACTTATCACACCCTGGATCGACCATTGACCCAGGTGGAAGCACTGGGTCAACAGTTAGCTTGTCAGACCGTGTATTTTATTTAACCATTTCTAATTAGTGGTTCACCAAAGAGAAAAGTACTGCCAGGATATCCACTGTTAGACTGAAGACCTGAACTAACTGAACAGATGTACCTCAGAGAAGCTCAAATTACCAATACTGCAATACATAGAAAGATCAACACAAGGATCATGCAATGCCAAAATCTTGATGTGGTGTGCAACAGCGCATAATTACTGATAAAACTGGGCAGTGTTTGAATAGACTCAATAGAGATCATAGCTTGCTGTGTCATGGCAAATAATTCTGAATCAAAATGCAGTGAGTAGAGATTATACAGACATACAACAGTACGAGTCATAAAAAGCTACTAGTACATTAGACATACCTCTGAAAGACAAAACATGACATAACTTGTGGTCATTTCAGAAATCTGCCTTCAAACGCTCAGGTCATATTTCACGTTGGCAAGGTAGAGACCACAAGCAGGTGCCATAGGAGGTGCCGCAGTCACTGCCTTTAAATTCAGAATTCTCTCAACTGCATCAAAGACCATAAACGTTCACATCATTTCACAATCTATGGAGCAAAAGGCAAAACACAAAAGATACTCAGTGAAAATTTTATTAAAGGAATCAAAACAGACCATCTTCAGTTGTTAGATCTCCAGTACCAACAGATTTTAGAAGACCAACCATTAACCTTACCTGCACCATCAGAGAAGACATAAAAAACATACCAAATGACCAAAAAGAAGAGGAAGGGTAGCATCATCCAATAATCAATTAATGGCAACAAGCCAACAATGGTGACATAAAGTTGCCTAGTAATAGCAAATGCTTACATGCTCATTGCTCAAACACATTTATCTACAACCAACAAGAAAATAGAGTTAAAGTGGATGATGCCTAACGTTACAGCTAATATCAAAACATTTTTCAGAGGTTTAAGGCTCCACAACATGAACAGTTTGAACTTTGAAGATAAAAGAGAGAAATAGACACTTTTTTTTTATTTCCCAGGAACATTGCGTTGAACTCCGCTCCAAAACACAAGTACTTCCCAAATTACCACGAAATATGTTCTTAATTAACACTATGGGAATTAAGAACCGAACATCATTAGAGTAACTTGCAATCAATCAAGGGCACCCACACAGGCAGTCAAAAAATGATTTAGCAAGTCAGCAATCAACCAGGTAAATCCCTAGGCTCTGAAGTTAGCCTTCATGGAAGATGAATTAACCTGGTGGTAAAGAAATGAACGTGCCCGTGCAGTAACAACGAAGCAACGATGCCTTAGCCTCTTTCCAAATTCTTCTCCATTCTCAAATCTTGATTGCTCACTTGTACTAGAAGCATCAGATCCTTTTCCAGAAGATTCCACAACTGACGTTCTTGAATAAACAAGATGCCCATCTAATGACTCCATCTCTGATCGCTCCATGCTTGAAGGAAAAAACATGGAAGGAAATACTTCTGTAACACTAAGCTCATCCAAAGTTCTCATGGGAGAGTTTGCCTGTAAACAATAATTGCCAAGAGAAAATCAAATTTCATGTAAACAAGGTGGACGCTAAAATCCAAAAAACGCTAGAAAACAGGAAAAATGTTTATTGTTTCCGTTAAAGTATCAATTATAAAATTCTAAATATGGGTTATATAGTTCAGCAAATAATTAAATTAACTTGATTCATAGTTTGCATTCTGCAGAGTCCACTTTGTTCTCGATCAAATTGCAGGGGAAAAATTAAATGCACTTATGGTAGGGAAATCTGTGTTCAACTGTCCAAATGTAATGCTCCAACTCTATGATTATCTCCTGACTTACTATACTTGCATTTCTTCAAAAAGCTCTGTTTAAATGAGTAGCAGTTAAGAAGTAAGTACACCACCTGACATCCAGTTGCTCGAAATGAACTGAAATCATGATGCCCAACAAGTATGCTGCACGCTTTCTGAACATGAATCATCAGTAAACCCAGTAATATAATTTTTGTATCAGGAAATAATGATGGAAGAAAACTTCACCTTCATTGCCTGTACATTTAAATCCTCGGGTATGTGCCAAGCAGAGGTTTTCTCAAAAACTGATAGTGGCTCAGATCCAGAAAGCAAACGATAGTGGTACCTTCAAGAACATAAGTAAAAATATAAGCATTTCCAATATTTCAGAAAGGCTGGTCTTTAAGCAGGCTTCATTTTTCTCTCATTTACTTCAAAAAAACTACAGCATGTTAATATTTTGGGTTATTGCTGCTTGTGATAAAATAATTTGGACATAAGAATGGAACAAGTATAACAACAAGAGCAAATGAGAAAATCCCTTTATTGTATTGTATATTTTGCTACCTACGTGCGCTCTAGGGCTTTGTATCTAGCATGGAAGTCTGGTGCAACACAACGGACATCAGTCACCATTATGTCACCTTCATTCTTCTGCGAGGAAAATGGTGAAGCAAAAATAAATATACAATGGCAGATAAGGAAATAACACCATCAATAAACGGGTAAAGATGTAAAGTACATAGACAAATTACTGAGAAGCAAATCAACCATATGAATGTGTGCCATCACCAAAACAAAGAACGAAGGTACAGTATGATAACTTCTATAGAGAAAGTGGACTGACAATTTGTAGGTGAATGAAACTATAACAAGATTGGGTCAAAAACTTGCCTGTAGAAAATGGTTCACTGCACGTTTTACAACTCCAGGCTCATGAGGTGGCAACTGCAAATGGGGACAAGAAGGTCATCAGGGCTACAGATGTTCTACATAACATATTTTTGTTTACACAAATAAAGAGGTACAAGTCAAGAGGGAAAAACAGTTCATTTATGAAATCGGTTTGGGGGCATATAGTGAGATTCTAACATGGATGTTACAGCAGTCAACCTAAATTATCATGTAGTCCAGTCACATATGTGCTTGTTTTAGATAAGCATCCAAGGGCCACCTAACATTTGAGAATCAATATAGATTTAGAATATACACAAATCATAATGTAGAGTTGTCTCAAAAAAATACTTTCATAATATTATAATTCTAATGGGTTTTAAAAATATATTCCAATAGAAGACTGGGGGGGGGGGGGTCAAAGTTGCATTTGAAGACTCAAAATAAGTTTTTGAGTACCAAAAAATGCAGAAAAAAAGTATTGGGAGTAAACCCAGTAAGGAAAGAAAGTTTGTGGACACATACCATTTCACCAGGCTTTCTTTTACTTATCCGCTCCACGTCAACATGACAAACATTTGATAAAGCATGAACACCTGTGTCCTGAACCAGAATATAAGTCATTCACTAATCAATACATATGAGTATGCCATAACATTGCAGGAAACTAAGAGTATCATAGCATGTTGCAAAGATGTGAGAAATAAATTCATTGATTTAATAGAAGGCATAACCTCTCCACTAATTTGATCATACTTCTATGACCATAACCTGGATTGATCCTGGTAATTCTATTCTATCTTAACCACTATTTACATCTATTATGCTATGCAATATTGATCCAAAATTCCTCCAGTCTGACATACATATTACATAATCGATTGTTGGTACAACTATACCAGGTATCCATGTTTACGTAGTAAAAAACTCACTAGTGACAGTCAGCAAGAGACCACAAGTAATTTCTATCACAAGATAATGGATATTCAAATAGTAAAAGAAAACATGCTGTACTGAAGGCAAATACTGACCTAGAAGGAAAAAGAAGAAATTGCAATAAAACAAGTTCACATACCGTTCGACTAGAACAGAAGATTGAGACTGGCTGACCAATGAATTTGTGAAATGCCTCCTGAAATAATTCAAAAGCATGGGTGTGACGTGTGAACTACATTTAGCATCAATTAACATTTCACAACTAGTAATAAGTTGAGGCTGTAGAAGTAATCTATCAAGTGGTATTTGACTAGTCATTCCAACAATAAGAGGAGCATTTTGCAAATGACAATGTTTATGATAATATTATCTTTTAACAAAGCACTGGACTTCGTATTATTCAACTGCAGTCAACAAGTCAACATCCATTTTTCAGCAGCCACTTGCCTTCAATCTGATACTAACAAACAAAACAAAACATGTATGTTGTTGCAGCTAGGACAAAAAATACTGGGTCACTTGATCTTAATAACTGTAATTAAATCCTTCCGTAAATATCCTAGAGTCCTATACAAAGAAAGACTGAAATGACAAAGTAATCCATTTGTAATTTTGTATTAGCCAATCCCCATGTGCTGTTCTGTAAAATGCTCTGCTACCCAGGACTGAAACACATCCATGCAGATAAAACATGCATGTTATTCAAAATAGATTAGGGTTAGTGACACATTGGTCTGCTTTAGCCTCTTATGTGTACACATGTACCCTTTACATCGACATGTTGGTCTCCAAAAGTAATGCATCAGCCAAGTTTCTAAATCAATAACATGGTATCAGAGCTAATAACTATGATCCTAAACCCGAAGTAGAGCCAACACGAATCCACTACTGATTATTGCATCACTATTAAGTCACGATTGCAATAATAACCATAGAATGGGGAAAACCATGGCATACAGCCAGCACTTTCAGATCATAAAGTGCTTTTCATGACTACAAACAGATCAGCAGCAGATTGGTGCTAGATAAACATTCAATGATTTAATGATCCAGGAAACATAACTGATGCATTGCTATTGTAGGACAAAAGGCCAATATCTAGAATACATAGGACACATAGGAGACTAAGGGTAAACAACATGGGAATATGGAACTAATCCTGATATCGCATATTTTTATAAGAAAACTAGATTTCATATTATTCAACAGCAGCCAAGTCAGCATCCATTCTTCAGTAGTCACTTGACTTCAATATGATCCTAACAAAAAGAAACTGAACATGTATATTTTCATTGTTAGGACAAAATACTAAGCCATCTTAAATACTAGAACAACATTAAACCTTTGTGTAGTGTGTACAGCAACAAAGGTAGTTTATGTTTATCTCAAGAAAAAAACAAAAGGTAGTTTATTTCATCTTGCAATTCTATCTTCTCAACTAAAAGAAAGCCTGGAATGACAAAACTAATCCATCTGTCCATCTAGTGAACAGCATATAGGCAACTACCGCAGATGTTGTTCTGTAAATTGCTCTGCTAGCTAGAACTCAAACGCATCCATGTAGGTGGAATGTGCATGTGATAAAAGGTAAATTAGGATTAGCGACACTGACACATTGGTTTTCTTTAGTTTCTGATGTTGTAGCATGTACCCTTTACATAGACATGTTGGGCTCCAATAGTAATGCGTCAGCCAAGTCTCTAGGTCCAACAATTGGTATCAGAGCTAACAACTAACATCCTAAACCCCAATCAGAGCCAACACAAACATACTGCTGATTATGGCATTAATGTCAAGTCACAAATCCGTTGAAGGCGACAGACTTGGGGAATACCATGGCATGCAGATCACAAAGTTCTTTTCATGAAAAGAAACAGATCAGTACCAGATTAGGTACTGCCATTGGAGCTAAAACTCCTAGCAGCAGTGGATTGGTGTGGACAAACAATCAAAGGTTTAGGATTTCAGCTCTAATACCAAATGGTGGACATAGGAAACATAGCCAATGCATTGCTATTGTAGGCCACAAGGCCAACAAGAACACATAGATACAAAGGAAACTAAAAGAAAATAACTTGGAAGTACAGGACTGATCCTCATATATAATTAACACATGATACAACATAAGGCTCTTCGGGTTTGCCACTTGCCAGAGCTCCTGGATGGCACAAACTCATACTTGAAGGTGTCTATTTGATTTCCAAGGGAAACATTTGATTCCTTATGAGTTGTGGTAAAAGTGGCAAACCAGTGCAAGTGCTCTTAAGAAGCAGCAATTTCATGCTGCACCCTCACAATATTTAAAGGACATATTTCTATTATTGTTCACTCCAGTGTCTCTCAGCATGGTATTCATAAACCACTAAAAGCTGCTAACCTCTAAAAAAGACATTAGTCTTTCACCGGCTTAACTTTGATCACCCTTCAGGAACGGGAGAAAATAACAAGGGGCTGTTTGGTCATGTGCAAAATATTGCCAGTGCCCTATCAACTCAACTTTAAAAGAAACCCAGGAATCACAAAAGTAATCCATCTGTACTGCTGGAACAGCCTATAGGCAATTCCCCATGCAAATGAGACGTGCATGCTACTACAAAATAAATTAGGGTTAGTAACACATTGGTTTGCTTTAGTCTCTTATGTGTACACATGTACTCTTTACATGGTTTCCAAAAGTAATGCATCAGCCAAGTCTCTAAACAGTTAACATGGTATCAGAGCTAACAGCTAAGATCCTCAACCCCAAGTAGAGCCAACACAAATCCATCACTGATTATTGCATCACTGTCAGGTCACGAATCCAACGATGGCCATAGAATTGGGCAAAACCATGGCATGCAGCAAGCACTTACAGATCACAGTGCTTTTCATGACTAGAAACAGATCAGCAGCGGATTAGGTACTGCCCCGAGAGCTACAGCTCCTAGCAGCAGGGGATTGGTGCTGGATAAACATTCATTGGTTTAGGATTTCAGCTCTGATACCATGTAACTATGTAGGAAACGTAACTGATGCATTGCTATTGTAGGCCAAAAGGCATATCTAGAATACATTGGACACAAAGGAGACCAAGCGAAAACAAGAGTATGGAACTAATCTTGATGTCACATATTTTCTTTGTGAAAAATCACTAGAGTTCATATTATTTAACTGCAGCCAATTCAGCATCCGTTCTTTAGTAGCCACTTGCCTTCAATATGATCCTAACAAACAAAACTAAAAATGTATATTTCCATTTCTAGGAGAAAAATACTGGGCCATTCCTTTGTCTTAAATACTAGACCTTAATTAAATCTGTGTACAACCACCTAGACAAAGGCAGATTATTTCATCTTGCAGTCCGATCATCTGAATTAAAAGAAAGCCTGGAATCATAGAAATAATCCATTTGTCTCACTGCAACAGCCAATAGGCAACTCCCTAAATGTTGTTCTGTAAATTGCTCTGCTACTACGAGTCTACGACTGAAACACAAGATGTAGGCGAAACTGGCATGTTATTAAAGTAAAATTATGGCTGGTGGCCCTGACAGTTAGCAAAAGGAACACAGGTTTGGAGCTAGTTCTTTATTTCCATTTGCCACACTCTAACATGGCTGGTTGGGATACATATATAGACTAGTGGCTTACACCATAAGACAAAGCAAATAGCTTACATCCTAAGGTAGCTACTAGTGGCTTACATCCTAAGGAAACTACTAGTGGCTTACATCGCCGTAGTCACTGGTGCCCTCGACGTAACGGCGGATCCTCTTGGCAGCCCGCTGGTGCTCTGTCATCGGTCGCTGCATGAACCGGCTAACATAGCCAACAGCAAACGCCAAGTCCGGCCGCGTGTGAACGAGGTAGCGAAGGCTGCCCACAATGCGCCGGTACTGCGTGGCATCAACCTCCTTGGCCGTGCTGTCACGGCTCAGCTTCAGCCTTTCCTCCATGAGAGTGTAGGCTGGGTTGCAGCCGGTGAGCCCACCCAACTCGACGATGCGCTTGGCGTAGGCGGTCTGACGAAGGGAGATCCCCAGGTAGAAGGAGAGAAGGCCCAAGTCGCTCATCTGGAAGGTTGGCCTTGGCGAAGAATCCCGTCTTCCATGAGCGCAGCAAGCACATCCGCATCAAGTACCATTTCATTCGGAGCTGCTTGGACGAGGGGAGCATCAAGGCCAGCTACATCAACACCCAGGATCAGCTCGCTGACCTTCTCACCAAGTCTCTTGGGCGGGTCAAGTTCCAAGAGCTTCGCGCCAGGATTGGAATGGTTCAAATTCCCCAGAAGGTGCCACACAAGACTTAGGGGGATAATGACAGATTAAGTCTTGTTTTTACCATATGTTTTAACATCTATTTTGGAATAATAGTTAGCTGCCTTAGGATGTAAGCCACTAGTAGTTTCCTTAGGATGTAAGCCCACTAGTAGCTACCTTAGGATGTAAGCTATTTGCTTTGCCTTATGGTGTAAGCCACTAGTTGATATATGTATCCCAACCAGCCATGTTAAGAGTGTGGCAAATGGAAATAAAGAACTAGCTCCAAACCTATGTTCCTTTTGCTAACACTGACATGCTGGTCTACTTTAATCCCTTGTGTGTAAAAATTGGTGATTTGCCACTTTGATTATGTTGTTACTTGTTACGCTGTGAGACTGTGACAATGACATGCGGAACTGAGTCAATGGCATGTGGGCCAGGATTGCAAACAATCGAAGCCAATTTATTTTGTGGAATGTCAAGATATCAATTCCCCCTTTACATAGACATGTTGGCCTACTGGGCTACAATGTAACGCAACAGCCAAGTCTCTAAATCTCTCACAAGGTATCAGAGCTAACACCTAAGATGCTAAACCCCAAGCAGAGCCAACACAAACACACTGCTGATTATGGCAGCAACGCCAGGTCACAAATCTGTTGATAGCCACAGACTTGGGGAAAACAATGCCATGTAGCCTCCACTACAGATCTCAAAGTGATTTTCATGACAAGAAACAGATCAGAAAAAGCAACAGATTTGGTACTACCGTGGGAGCTACAGCTCCTAGTAGCCGTGGGTTGCTGTTGGACGATCATTCAACGGTTTAGAATTCAGCTCTAATACCATGTGAAAGATGTAGGAAAAGTAACTGATGCATTGCCACTGTAAGCCAAAAGGCCAATATCTCAAATAGATAACACACAAAGGAGACTAAACGCAAACAATTTAAGATGCAGGATAACAACACTAATCCTAATACTCCCTCCATTTCACAATGTTAAGATGTTTTGACTTTTTCTTCAAAGTCAAACTTCTTTAATTTTGACCAAGTTTATAGAAAAATGTAACAATATTTACAACACAAAACTAGTTTCATTAAATACAATATTTTGATATTGTATTTGTTTTATGTTGAAAGTGTTGTTATTTTTCTCTATAAACTTAGTCATACTTAAAGAAGTTTAACTTTGGAAAAAGTCAAAAGATCTTACATTGTGAAACGGAGGGAGTATATCTTCTAGTTCACTAGAGACCCTGGATAGCACAAACTCATACTTTTATTCAAGGTATCTATTTGACTTCCAAGGAAAATATTTGATTCATTTGTGAGTTGTGACAAAGTGGTCAATCAGTGCAAGTGCTCTTAAAAAGCAGCAAGTGTTATCTACCTGTAACTCCTGCACCCTGGAAATTCTTCAAGGGTATATTTCTGTTGTTGCTCGCTTTAGTGTCCCTCAGCATACAAACCACTAAAAGTTGCTAAGCTATAAAAGACATAGTCTTTCACCGGCTTAACTTTGATCACACTTCAGAAACGGAAGAAAATAACAATGCCTTCTTTTATTTAAAGCAAAATGTTGCCAATGTTTTGATTGTATCAATATTATGGTTGAGGCTTGTTAGGAAATTTTGGTTTCATAACGAACGGCTCCAGAACACCAAAGTTAAAAGTGTCGCCACAGTCATGACGTACTCTGCACAACGTTTCCCCTGCCATTTACCACCCACTTGATAACCCAAAGCTGACAAATCACCAGAGCACATGAGGTCCATTTGCATCCTGACTACTACACTTGGGCCCATTACAAGACTAAAACCAAGCATCACCCAGTTGTTCTTATGTATAGGATCATATAACATGACAAGTGTAGATTTACAAATGTCATAGAATTTCCTACTGTTGCACTGAGTCTAACTTCATCCATTATAGAGCAAAACAGAAGCGAAGCTACTAGCTAGCTCAAAACCCGAGAGGTCAAAAATAACGTGGCTCCAATTTTACTTTCACAAATTAGTCCTATGCATTCCAAACATATGTTAGATCCAAGGGCTTACCCAAGGACAGGCATATATATCAGTTACTACTGAATGTACTTGCTATTTGGGAATGATTAACCTCAAATTGCAGTACGGATTGGGTACTAGTCATCAACAAATAAGTCAAATCTCCTGATGCAAAAAAAAAATTTCTAAAACTTTAGCAGGCCATCCGCGTAAGTGTAACGATTCAGTTAGACCAGCAAAAGACGAGTATACATGCTTCATATTCTCATGGACTTTCATCCTTCGTAAATCTGCCCCAAGCCCCTACCGATTTCAGAAAATTTGTGTAGCTACCTAGTACCAGGGACATCCGTAGCAGTGCAGATTACGGTCGCCATTTCGAATCCACAGCTCAGATTAGAAGCATTTCACCTCGAGGACGCCGACGACGGTGCGCTGGTTGAGCTGCTGCTGGGAGCCGGAGAACCGGGTGCCGACGTACTCCACGGCGACCAGGTACCGCTGCGCCTGAGGGTTCCGCGCGCCGGCCATCTCCCCGCTTCTCACCCCAGCCACTTCGCCGCCGCCGTCAGTGGCGTCGCCCTGCGCCTCAGCCGGCGGCGAGGGATCCGGCGGGGACGACCTCTGGAGCTTCGCCGCCGGCGACGGGTCGGCGTGGGAGGGGTCGATGGGGCGCTTGGCGGCGGCGGCGGAGTCGGGGGTGGCGGCGCTCATGGTGATTGCGGCATGAGAGAGTGAGGGTTCTGCGAGGGCTCTGCACGCTCACCACCTCATCTCTCGTTCTTACACTATTACATCTTACAAATCAAACGGCTCATATTTATCACCCTACAATCGAACGGCCCAGATCCGAGCCCACTCCATCCCTTCCCCAGATCGCTCCTTCCCCTCCCTCCTTCCCCTCCGCTTCTTTCCCTCCCCAAACCACCGGCGCCGCCACCGACCCGCCGGCGCAGTGCGGCACCCACCGGTGGGGGATCCATCCTCTTTTTTATCGAAATCTAGCGCTAGCCTCTTGTCCTGGTTTCTTGGTGAAGGGCTTCCTTGGATTGGATTAGCTCTCATGAACCTTCTTTTTTTTTTTGGTTGCTTCTTGTAGGCAAGGAGAAGCCATCATGGAGCATGGGTCGGTGACGGACTCGACGGCCTCGACGTTCTCCATCGTGGAGGAGGATCACACGCTCGCCAACTCCGTTAGATTTGTTCTTAATCAGGAGTGCGTACAAGTTCCTCCTTTAATAGATGTGTTTGTGTTAACCAAGCAAGACTCTTTTAGATTTTGTGGTGTTGACATCAAGAGATTGTGGTTGCCACTTGAAGTGCAGTCGAAGTTGTTCGTACTGTAGAAATTTAGATATTTTGATGCGGTTGCTGAGTTGTTAGATTGGAGCAACTGGGGTTTGTGTAATGTAATAACCAAAAATCCACACCATTGTTTAGTTTAAATCCAGATTGGAACACTCAGAACTAGAATAAGAATTACCTCCTATGAGTGCAGAATTATATGTTGAGTTGCTTGTATTCCCTCGCAACTACAACTTAATTAATATAACACAAAATAGACGTAAAGAACTATTTGTTCTCGCCAATATTTGTGGCTGCTTGTGACTGGTTAGGAAAATCGATTCTTCTTTGGGGAATTGCTGATCCGTTTTAGGTCCTGTTGGAGACAGTTTTTTGAGCGGATTATTGACGTGGATTGTTTGCTTGATTAATGCAATAAGTTAATATTTTGAAAAATAAACTTCATAAATAGCTTAGAACAAGTGGTCTAAACAATGCAGTAGAAGATTTTTTTTTTTTGAGAAATCATATTTTAGCATTGATCAAATAATCCATGGCAAAAATCTGGGTGCATGCGACTCATTAGCAAAATCGTATGAAATGGTATTTCACTGTGTCTTAGAGATAGCTCAGGAAGTAAAATAAGTTATTCGTGGTTTATTATAACTTGGGCATATTTTCCCTTGTATGATGGTGACTGATAGCTAAGCTTTCGCATGCAATAATTCATGTTCCTTACTGATTTGATAATAATGGCAGCAGGCAAGCAACTCCTGGGCTTCCTAGGAAATGATATGATATCTGTTGCTCCTGTGTATTTAACAAATAACAACTTGGAATGTTAAGGAGGTACTGATTTATGTATAGTTGGATCAGCTCTCAATAAGTAAATAAGTTTTTTTTTTAAGACAACTATAGTAATCATTGCTGTTTTCAAAATCAACTTGAGTTTTTCTATGAATTGAGTAAGCCTTGATGTATAAGAACTTCTCTTTGTGACTGTCCCTTCTTTATGTTGCTACAGCCCAAGGGTAGCATTCCGTGGATATGTTTTGTGGCAGCTTGTGAGTTTTGACTGATTAGGAAACTTAGTTCTTTGGGGCATCCCTGATATGTTTTTGTATGAAATGATGTTTCTTAGAGGCTATCATCAGTAAATTAAACATATTTCTCATGGTTTATCATAACTAGGCATATTTTCTGGTGTATGATGGTGATTGATAGCTTAATCTTTGGCATGCAACAGTTCATGTTCCTTGTTGATTTGATAATAATAGCAGCAAACAACAACTCCTGAGGTACCATAGGAAATGATATAATATCTGCTGGTCATGCATATTTAACAAATAACAACTTGGAATGTTAATTAGGTATTGCATTATGTGTAGTTGGATCAGCTCTCAATAAGTAAAATAGTAAATAAGGTTTTAGGTAATGGTTCAGGCTTCAGACAACGATAGTAATCATTGCAATCTTCAAAATTAACTTGTGTTTTTCAATGAATTGGGTATAAACCTGATGTATAAGATCTTCTCATTGTAATTATCTCTTCTTTATGTTGTTACAGCCCAAGGGTAGCATTCTGTGGATACAGTATCCCTCATCCTGCTGACAACAAAGTCAACATAAGAGTTCAGACTACAGGTACTATCATATAGTGGGTGATCAAAATTGTCCCATTTCTTTTGATTGTCAATGCATATTGAATGGGCCTTATATGATTATATCAATATTCACTTTCTTTGTATAATGGAATATATATTCATCGCATGAAGCTGCAAGAATTCCAAACAGTTTTTTTTTTCTTTTTTTGACTACTCAGTCATGTGTATCAGCTGGTGTGTACATATTTATTATATTATTGTGGAGAGCAATTATAACTAAATAGTACAGCTTCTGTTCTTATGGTTGAATGTGTAGCACATCTAATCTTATTAATGAATAATGTTGTTGTATTAGTAGTTTCCCTCCAAATTATTAGCAGATATTCCAAATATCGAAGGGATGGCTATTGTTCTTCCCTGTCATTTTACAATTTAAAACTCTTCTGCACCATTGCCTTCGACAAATGTTTGATCTTTGATGCCTTCCTGATGTATGATGTATATGTTGGCAGGAGACCCAGCAAAGGATGTTCTGAAAGACTCTTTGCAGGATTTGATGGTGATGTGCCAGCATGTAAGGGGGACATTTGACACTGCAGTGACTCAATTTCGGCAGAACAATCCTACAGGCATGAACATCGATCAGAACAAAAAGAAGTAGCTTCTGGGTGGTCTTCGCTGCATGGCAACAATTTGCCCAGACATTTTCTATGTAATCGACCAATTAGTTGGTCTATTTGATATGAATGCTCCCTGTATCCATTGTAAGAAATGCTATTATAACACAACGGGACTTGCATTCATACTTCAGTTTTCATGGTCAATGGACATCTCGGTCATTTATCCTGTTTAGCGATGTATGTTGCCTGGATAACATTTTTTTTACAAATGAACATTGAATTAAAATCAACTACGGATAAAAGCGACAGGACTGCCAAGAACCTATTGTTTCACTGTCTCCAGTATAATTTTTATTTATTATCTTAATACTAGTTTGCGTTCATAGCAACAACCATTTGCTAGTATTTGAAGTTCAAGGTTTTATACCAATAGCTGGAACAACCAATAGTTGCAGCTTAGATCATTTCTCTCTCTTTTGTTCTGTGGTTCTAAATTCAGTTAATTTGAACTAAGCATTCTACTCCGATATGCGAAAAACTTCATCAAACCACAGATGTTTCAAATAATCTAACTGATGTTTAACTTGAATCATGAGCAGTTTAAAAAAGTCAGCAGTGAAATGGGACCAATCTAGACGAAATGTCGCACAATACTATTAATATAGTAGATCGGCGATTAACATTATCACCCAACGTGACACAGAATACAAGCAGATAGAAGGGGACAATCTAAAGTAAATTAAGTGATAGCATACTTCCAGGCCCAAAAAGATATATAACAGCTTATTTTTCATATGAACACGGCGTGCCTTATCAGATATGACACTGCGTTCCGATTAACTTGGTATTACAGGAGTCAATACACAGTTCAAAGACATGAGAGAACTACAACATGCTTCAACAGCACTAAGCTTTTATTGGATGTGCTGCATACAGTTCTCCAAGACGTGACAATTAATCTCAACACTTCTCACATTCTGCTCATGTCCTTGTGTGCCGGCTGCCGAACTATTAGAAGCAACACATGGTGTGTAATAATGCGGATTTGAAATAACAAATGAAACAAAGACTGAATGAATGAATTAGAACCTTGTTTCAAACTGACTAGGAAGCAAGAAAAGCTTCAAGCTGCAAATAGACCCTAAACACCTCCGACTGGTCTAGCATCAAAACAATGGATATGAGATGAGGATGACCGTCAGGTGCACATTCAGAATGAAATAAGGATTGGATCCATAGTTACTAAGCCTTTCCAGCTCTATTCATCATTGGATGTGATTCCAGGTTCATCGTCGCTGCTCCCCTCCTGATGCAACTAATGACCACAAATAGTGGTATGACAGGGATAGCGAAGCTATGTGAAACTCACAGAATCATAAGCTGGGGGAAAAGAATCCTAAATGCGAAGGCCTGGAACAGCATCACGCCCTGAGTTGGGATCGCCGTGTTTTAGAGACATGTTTGCAAATTGCGAATCGAGGTCTCTGCTGTTACTACGACTGTGGGTAGGACCCTGCTGCTGTGGTATGTGCTGCTGCTGTTGCTGTTGCTGAAACAATGATCTGAGACGGCCAATTTCCCGTTCAAACATCTCCTGTTGAACTGTAGAAAGGAGTTCAGATGATCAGTCATTTAATCAGAACAATTTCAAAATTAAAACTTGATGAAGAAATACAATGCAACTGGTTTACTATCATTCAAAAGAAAATATCCAGATAATCTCAATGTTTCTTGCTACGGTGGAAATATTGTAATTTTCTGTTGAAACATCATGCTCAGGTTATGAGCCTTTGATATGATACATGCACCGATTGTAAGATGGCATAGAGGATTTTTGGTTGTCACATACTCCCTCCATCGATTTACATAGTGTGCATTCTGATCCGGCAGGACCAGCACATAGATTTAGAAAGTTATAAGATATAAAGTATTATTACCAAAGAGAATGACTAAAGCGTGGAGTACCCTTCTATTAAGTTCTTTGGTAAGATGAGATAGATTCTTTTTCTGTGATTAGTCACACGGGAATGCTCAGAAAGATAATAAAATCAATACGTGAGAGAGAGAGGAAACAACATTAACTACACATGCACAAATTTATTTTTTTTTCCAAACCAAATAGGCCTTAAAAAAATCAGAAGAAAACATCATAATTCACTCTAATATAATAGAAAGAGAACTAAAAACATCGATTGGCAAAAGAAAGCATTGCAATAAAATTACTCGTGTGAAAGAATATAGAAGGGAGATATCATACTTACAGCGTTTAATTAGGTGTTCCTGAGATAGACTCTCAAGCCGTTGTTTCAAGGCTTTATTCTCCAAATCTAACATGATATTTTGTTGACCAAGAAAATCCATCTCAGCAGAAACTTCTACACCCTCTGTCTGCAAACATTTGAAACAACCATTTTTAAACATTAAGGCAAAGCGAACTTGTACAAGAAAGCATTAAAACAGTTCCTTGCAATAAGGTCACCTGTAAAGCTTGAACTCTTCTCTCGAGCTCTGCAATGTACTGGAGCTTTCTAACACGAGACCTCTGAGCATACTGCCTGAAATGGGTAGTTGGGAGCAATTTGTTAAATGCATATGACATGATGTTCAAGATATACCAGTAAACTCTGCATAATGTCAAGAATTGATTCAAATAGTTCATCCTTTCAATGGAGCTGTCAACATAAGATGTTTTGACACCAGAGAGTTTGGTGAACATGCAGATATGCAGCTTGTGTGCATTCAGGGATTGATGGATGTACTAGACTTACAAATTGCAAGTAAAGGCAACTGTGTAGCAGGGTAAATTCAATCTGATAAAGATTTCAAACAAACTTTAGATTGGCCATATGCAATTGAGCATTCAACATATAAAAAGCACGAGTTTTGAATTGGTGCATTAACTATTAGGTTGATACTACTATCCTGACCATCACTTTTATTTGATCACATGGCTCACATTAAGAGTTACCCCTAAATCCCTCCTGAGCAATTAGTTTGCTCTTAATATTTATTTCTACCCATATATAAAGCACTGCTTAATGTTTTTATTATGAATGGAAAGTTTCTGCTGTATGAATTATGATATAACATAATCGTTACCATCATGGTGTTCATTTAATTTCCATTGAAAAAACTTAAATTTGTTCACACGACGGTGTTGAGCTTCGTTACTCCTATGATTTAATTCGGCTCTTACTTTCCTTATTAGTTTGCTCTAATTGCCATACGAATTTCTTAATATGTCTTCAGACAATTCCGGGCATTGAACACAGTACGCAGGGTCAAGTTGCCTTCGGGAGCATCCTAATCCCTCAAGTGCAGAATGCAGCAGATCTTTGCTGCAGTCGCTGCTACTACATTTCTGCCACTAATAGAACAAATACGCGGTAACCGCTTATTTGTACTATAATTGGGTTCGCGGGCCTGCCCGCTTGCACCCTTAGTGACCGCATAAAACCACTTACTCCTTTTTAAAACATTGATCAATTTTTCTAGCATGTATTGTTTTGTCACAGGATAATTTCACAGCAAGGATCTACTATACTACTACTGTTACAGTACTGGGTTCTCGTTATCTATATTGTTGGATAAGTCTTTGTGGTCCTTGGTCGTGATTCTTCTTTTTGCTTTTGGGTAGTTTCACCTTTTTCAGGACAGCATCTACCCTTTAGCATATTTTTCAGTTGCTAGGACAGCTGCGGTTAGTAGGACAACAGCAGTTAGCATCTCCTTTATGCCTCATTTATGCTTTATTCAGTTTGGATGCCCTCTAGGACAGCATCCCATTCAAATTTCGAATTTTAGACTAGAAGGGTGCAGCAATAGGCTAGCAGCCAGCTATGGCTATATATATGTATCCAACCTCCCTCGGGTAGGCATGGCTTTTGTGTTTAGTGAATGAAGAAAACCAGAAAATCGCCCCATCTCGAGTGCCATCCTCTTCTCAATGAGAGTAACCATTGAAATTCTAACATCTGGTATCAGAGCCACACTTTCCTGTAGGCTAAACATCTCTTGTTCCACCCCTTCCCAAGCTCGGTTGAGCTCTCAGCCAGCAGCAGCAGCAGCACCGGTTGCTCCTCCTTCCCCTTTCCCTTCCCCCTCTCCACGCAGCAGCCCCCCGGAGGTGCGCCATGTCCGACGCTCAGTCTCGGCGTTTGGTCGCCTCGAGCACTCGGCGTCAGCAAGACGCCGAGCTAGCCGCAGCAGAAGAGCGCAGGCGAGCAACGGCTCAGACCGCTGCAGCAGCAGCACGGGCGGCTAGACTGGCGGCAGCGGAGTTGGCGGCAGCAGAGTGCGGAGGCGGAGGCGGCGGAAGATGCGGCACGTGCGGCGGAGGTAGAGGTTGAGACCTTGCGCAGCAGCATCAACGGCTCCATCGCCGGCGACATCACCGCCGACAGGGAACTTGAGGAGCTGGCAAGAGGAAGGGCACGGGAGCGAGCAGAGCGGTGGGCAGCAGCCCACCTCCACGGCGGCGGCGGCGGCCCAAGGGACCGCGCGCCCGCCGACGGGAACCCAGACGGGCGCGGGCGTGCCGGCGGCAGCCCGGAGCCCGCACGTGGCCCTCGCAGGCAGCACGGCTCTCTCTCCCCTGACCGGCGCCATGGTCACCACGGCGTCCAGACGGTGGTCAGGGACTTTGGTCCCGGCGGTGGGTGGCCTACCCTCACCAAAACCAAATACATCGAGTAGGCCGCGGTGATGAGGGTGAGGCTCCAGGTGCGGCACATGTGGGAGGCAGTCCGGTACGGTGACGTCGACTACGATGAGGATCGGCGGGCACTGGATGCCCTCATCGCTGCAATCCCGCCCGAGATGCAGTTCTCGCTTTCCCAAAAGCGGACTGCCAAGGAGGCCTGGGACGCCATCGCTGCGGCACGCATCGGCAGCGACCGCGCCCGCAAGTCCACACTGCAGGCACTCCGCAAGGAGTGGGAGAACCTGGCCTTCAAGCCAGGTGAGGATGTTGATGACTTTGCTCTCCGTCTCAACACTCTCTTGCAGAAAATGGTGCAGTACGGCGACGACACCTACGACGAGGAGAGAGCTGTCGAGAAGCTCTTCCGCTGCGTCCCTGAGAAGTACAGGCAGATCGCTCGCTCGATCGAATCTCTGCTGGACCTCTCCACGATGACGATCGAGGAGGCGTTAGGTCGCCTCAAGGTCGTCGATAGTGATGAGCCACAGCCTCTCTCGGGGCCCATCACCATCGGCGGGAAGCTCCATCTCACTCGGGAGCAGTGGGAGGCCTCTCAAGGTGACGGAAGGAAGGGGGAGTCATCTTCCCCGACAGGCGGCTGTAAGCCGCGCAAGGCGCGGGGAGGTGTCCAGCTACGGTGGGTGCGAAGACGTGCCGAGGGTGGCGCCCGCAGAGGCGCCCAGGGCGTTGCCACCGGCAACCACAAGCCGGCACGAGACGACGCCTGCCGCAACTGTGGCAAGCTTGGCCATTGGGCCAAAGACTGTCGACAGCCACGACGTGGCCAGGCCCACGTCGCACGGGTGGAGGAAGAGCCGGCTCTGCTCCTGGCTCACGCAAGCATCGAGCTACCTCCAGCGGCACCGGCCGCAACGGCTTTCCTCCACCTTGATGAGCCGAAGGTACTCGTCTCCCTCTGCAACGGCTCCAGCAACGACAAGGCTGATGGGTGGTACCTCGACACCGGCGCCACCCATCACATGACCGGCCGACGGGAGTTCTTCATCGAGTTCGACTCCAGCGTCCGAGGCTCCGTCAAGTTCGGGGACGCCTCCGGCGTGGAGATCAAGGGTGTTGGCTCCGTCACCTTCACCGCCAAGTCCGGTGAGCACAGGCTGCTCACCGGAGTCTACTACATCCCCGCGTTGAGGAATTCTATCATCAGCGTGGGACAGCTGGATGAGAACGGCTCACGCGTGTTGGTCGAGGACGGACACTAATCGACTCTACATCCTCAGCGCACAGGTCGCACAACCAGTTTGCCTCACCGCTCGTCGGGACGACGAGGCGTGGCAGTGGCATGAGCGCTTCGGGCACCTCCACTTCGAGGCCCTGAAGCAGCTCGGTGCCAAGGAGATGGTGCGAGGCATGCCGTGCCTTGACCACATGGAGCAGCTCTGCGACGTTTGCGTGGTGACGAAGCAGTGGCGGCTCCCCTTTCCCCAGCAGACGAGCTTCCGAGCCAAGGAGCGGCTCGAGCTCGTGCACGGGGACTTGTGTGGCCCAGTGACACCGGCCACACCAGGAGGGCGACGTTACTTCTTACTGCTCGTCGACGACCTCTCCCGCTACATGTGGGTGATGGTCCTCGGCAGCAAGGGAGAGGCTGCGGACGCCATCAGGCATGCGCAGGCTGCTGCAGAGGCAGAGTGCGGCCGCAAGCTGCACGTGCTGCGCACCGACAACAGCGGCGAATTCACAGCGGCTGAATTTGCGTCGTACTGCGCTGATGAGGGCATTCAGCGCCACTACACCACGCCGTACAGCCCGCAGCAGAACGGCGTCGTTGAGCGGCGCAACCAGACGGTTGTGGGGATGGCTCGGGCCCTCCTCAAGCAGAGGGGGATGCCGGCCATCTTCTGGGGGGAGGCGGTGGTGACGGCCGCCTACATCCTCAACCGCTCGCCTACCAAGGCCCTCGATGGCAGGACACCGTACGAGGCTTGGCATGGGCGCAAGCCGGCGGTCTCCCACCTGCGGGTCTTCGGCTGCCTCGCGTTCGCCAAGGAGCTTGGCCACATTGGCAAGCTCGATGACAGGAGCACCCCAGGGGTGTTCATCGGCTACGCGGAGGGCTCGAAGGCCTACCGCATCCTCGACCCGGAGACACAGCGTGTGCGCACTGCGCGCGACGTTGTGTTCGATGAAGGGCGAGGGGGTGGGTATGGGACAAGGCGGTGGACGATGGTTCGACTCCGACGTACGACGACTTCACCGTCGAGTACGTCCACTTCGAGGGAGCTGGGGGAGTAGGCAGCTCTTCTTCACCTAGCGTGTCTACCCCAGCCCCCGAATCTCCACCGACTCCAACACCAACACACCCTCGGGCCACGACTTCGACTACGACGAGCTCTTCGTCGACACCACCCCAGCCAGTGACTCCACATGCTCCAGCACCAACAGCCACTCCTCCAAGCACGTCTACTCCGATGCCAGCTCGTGTTGAGCGCAGCCCGGTGGAGTTCGCTACTCCGCTCTCCCACGACGGGGAGCGCATCGACGCGTACCACGACGGCGAGCAGCTACGGTACCGTACGATGGAGGATCTTCTCGGCGACCAGCCGGTGCCGGGACTGGTGCCTCGCGACCTAGAGGCGCAGTTGCACCTTGCGTGCGACGACGGTGAGCCTCGGTCTTTTGTAGAGGCCGAGAAACACGCGGCATGGCGTGCCGCGATGCAGTCGGAGATGGACGCGGTTCAGGAGAACCGCACCTGGGAGCTTGCTGACCTCCCTCATGGTCACCGCGCGATCACCCTTAAGTGGGTGTTCAAGCTGAAGAGGGATGAAGCCGAAGCCATCGTCAAGCACAAGGCTCGCTTGGTGGCACGCGGTTTCGTGCAGCAGGAGGGGATCGACTACGACGATGCCTTCGCTCCCGTGGCACGGATGGAGTCCGTGCGACTCCTTCTTGCGCTGGCTGCTCAGGAAGGCTGGGGCGTCCATCACATAGACGTCAAGTCGGCGTTTCTAAACGGCGACTTGAAGGAGGAGGTCTACGTGCACCAGCCGCCGGGATTTGTGATCCCCGGCAAGGAGGGCAAGGTGCTACGCCTGCACAAGGCCCTCTACGGCTTGCGGCAGGCACCGAGGGCGTGGAATGCCAAGTTGGATTCCACGCTCAAGGGGATGGGCTTCGAGCAAAGCCCGCACGAGGCGGCCATCTACCGGCGGGGCAATGGAGGAAATGCCTTGCTGGTGGGTGTCTACGTCGACGACTTGGTGATCACTGGCACCAAGGATGCGGAGGTCGCGGCGTTCAAGGAGGAGATGAAGGCCACCTTCCAGATGAGTGATCTGGGGCCTCTCTCCTTCTACCTGGGGATCGAAGTGCACCAGGACAACTCCGGGATCATGCTTCAACAGACCGCCTACGCCAAGCGCGTCGTTGAGCTGGCTGGGCTCACCGATTGCAACCCAGCTCTCACTCCGATGGAGGAGAGACTGAAGCTGAGCCGCGACAGCACGGCGGAGGAGGTGGATGCTACACAGTACCGACGTCTTGTGGGGAGCCTTCGCTACCTCACCCACACACGGCCGGACTTGGCCTTCTCCGTCGGCTACGTCAGTCGGTTCATGCAGCGACCGACGACGGAGCACCAGCAGGCTGTGAAGAGGATCATCCGCTACGTTGCGGGGACTCTCGACCACGGTCTCTACTACCCGAGGTGTCCTGGCAAGGCACACTTTGTCGGGTACAGCGACAGCGACCACGCCGGCGACATCGACACCAGCAAGAGCACGAGCGGGATTCTCTTCTTCCTCGGCAAGTGCCTCGTTAGTTGGCAGTCGGTCAAGCAGCAGGTGGTGGCCCTGTCCAGCTGCGAGGCCGAGTACATGGCGGCCTCCGCCGCTTCGACCCAGGCGCTCTGGCTTGCTCGACTGCTTAGTGATCTCCTCGGCAGAGACACTGGAACGGTGGAGCTCAGGGTGGATAGCAAGTCCGCTCTGGCCCTGGCAATGAACCCCGTTTTTCACGAACGGAGCAAGCACATCCGAGTGAGGTACCACTTCATCCGAAGCTACTTGGAGGAAGGGAGCATCAAGGCGAGCTACATCAACACCAAGGACCAGCTTGCGGACTTGCTCACCAAGCCTCTTGGGAGGATCAAGTTCCTCGAGCTCTGCTCCAGGATCGGGATGGCCCAACTTCCCCACAAGACGACGCACAAGACTTAGGGGGAGAATGTTGGATAAGTCTTTGTGGTCCTTGGTCATGATTCTTCTTTTTGCTTTTGGGTAGTTTCACCTTTTTCAGGACAGCATCTACCCTTTAGCATATTTTTCAGTTGCTAGGACAGCTGCGGTTAGTAGGACAGCAGCAGTTAGCATCTCCTTTATGCCTCCTTTATGCTTTATTCAGTTTGGATGCCCTCTAGGACAACATCCCATTCAAATTTCGAATTTTAGACTAGGAGGGTGCAGCAATAGGCTAGCAGCCAGCTATGGCTATATATATGTATCCAACCTCCCTCGGGTAGGCATGGCTTTTGTGTTTAGTGAATGAAGAAAACCAGAAAATCGCCCCATCTCGAGTGCCATCCTCTTCTCAATGAGAGTAACCATTGAAATTCTAACATATATATGATTTGCCTTGAAAACAGAGGCTAATTACTAAGGTAAGTATTACCATTGCGTTTTCACGTAGATTGAGACAGCATGTGATCACCAGGACATATAAAACAGCAGTATGCTTTTTATTATTGTTTCTTGATGTCGTTTATCTACGCAACTACACAAGAAAATTTCTAATTTGATGATAAATTACTCATTTCTATTGTAGGTTAAAAAATGTTGTTTCTGTGGCTTCCATATGTTTACAGGGAATTCTACCTTTAACATTAAACCTACTATCACAGGTGAGTAACACAATCAAAGACGGCCCAAAGTAGCTATTTCCAAGCATATCAACAGAAATCATGATGCGGAATTGTGTTCTTCATACTCTATTGTAGATAAAACATGTATCAGATTTCTCTGAAGAACCTTTTGTAGTTAGTCAATAAAAACTCCAAGTGAAAATACTTGTAAAATTTTCTCCAAAGAAGATTTTATCATACTGTAAGATTGGCGGGGATACCTTTTGGAATTAAATAGCAAATAGATTCCCTGTATTAAGTTATGCATACTTTAAAATGAAAATAAAGAATTTACTGAAAGTAATTCGATGATATTCCTTAAAGATCTTCGATTTTTTTTATCTATTAAAATTTTGAAAAAACTTTCATAAATTAGAAAGATAGTGCACTCTACTGGTGGGTGTAGAAAATGGGCTTTTATCAAGAGTTAATGTGTGTTACATATGCATCATGACTAGAAATATAAAGTTTACAGGTCACTTTTACTTAAATAGAGTGCAAGCTAATATCTTCGGCATTAATTCAATCTCCAACCATGTTGTGATCGCCACTAGATACGCCCTGCAGAGTCACAAAACATTGAACCACAACAGTGTTGTTAACAGTGTAGGCTTCAACCAGGGGCTAGAGGTGATTTGATAGCAGTGTATCAAAGGCTCATTCTGCTATTCCAATCACGGATTCATGATGCAAGCTTCATTATCAGAATTGGTGTTTCATGAGCATGGAATTCGACAACTGGTCAATCAAACTTTGATTATCAAAGTGATAGCAAATTAGCAATGAGCATGGAATAAAATCGAACTCACTGTTTAGCTCGCTTGGTGTCTGCCTCCGATTGGGAGTGCCTTAGGTGTGCACCCTCTTTCCTCTCTGCTCCCATCCTCTGATCATGAGCTGAATCTCCAGGGCCTTTCCTGTCCACCCCATTCGGCAAAGAACCATGCCCATGATCACCAAATGCGCTTGGTGGACCATGATGGCCACCATTCATCGGCACCGGCATGCCGCCGCCACCACCACCACCTTGTCGGAGCATCAGTCTCGAATCCCATGGCCGGCCCCCCTGCCCTTGCGGCCGCCCAAACGAGCTTTGTTCCGGGAAGAACTCCGGTGCGGCACCCCAAGAACCAACCTGCTGTCCTCCTCCACCTCTTCCCCTCATTCCATCGAACACATTGTCGTACATGCCAGCCGCGGCGGCGGAGGCACCGCCGTCGAACAGCGTGAAGGAGTCGCTGGACGACCTGCGGTGGCCGGGGCGGCCGTGCGGCCGCGCCGGCGCCTCGGGCTCGGCGAGCAGGTCGTCCAGCCACGACGGCTGCTCGTCGATGAGGACGCTCTCCGACGACGTGCGCTGGTGGCCGTGCCGGTGGGGCGCGTCCCGCGGCCGCGCGATCGGGCCCAGCTCGGCGTGCGGCGACGGCGACGGCGCCGCCCCCACCGCCGCCGGGAACGGGCTCCGCGGCGGCAGCAATGCCTGCTTCTGAAACCTCGCGTTCGCCATCATGGCGTGCTCAACCTCTGCGCGGAAACAAAATGAAACAAAACGTCAAACAGAATTGCGAAAATTTTGAGGCGCCAGGCACAGATCTCATCTGGGAAGCACCGCAAATGTGCAAAAATCGAATTATTAGGGCAAAAAATTCCCAATAAACACGACAATTTTCGTGGGGACGAAACATTGAATACTCAGAAGAAATGCTCAAGATAGACCAACTAAAAACGGGCATGAAAACAAAAATCTAATTCAAATCAGATTTTGCTCCAGGAACGTAAAAAAAAAATCCATCAAACAGACAAGATAATGGGAAATCTGATGAACAAACAGCGGAATCATCAGATTCCAATCTTCCCAAAACCAAACCAGATCAAGACGCCAATCCGTACAAGAATCGCCACATCAAACACGCAAAGAGAAGCGAACAAATCAAAAAGGAAACCCCCACCGATCCAGCCGCGCACTTCGATTCGTACAGGCGGAATCTTAATCCCAAGCTCCAACCCTCGATTTCCTCGGATAGGTACTAATCTCGGAGAGGATTAGGGCACGCGGTTCATCTGTGCATCAGGGAGAGAGGGGAGGCGGAAGCGGATAAATGGAGAAGGAAAACGGGGGAGAGAAAAGTCAAATTAGGGGGAGCTACTACTATTTATAACGGCAACAACAATTCGGATTTTCAACGGCTAGGATTGGATTTAAGCTTCATTTTGGGTTACCCCAATGAGGTAGATCGATCGAATGCTGGCCGTTAGATCGTTCGAGGGAGGGTGGCAGGACACGCAAAAAGGAGAAAATCATTAGCACATAATTAATTAAAATTTAATTATTTCAAATTTAAAAAAGGGTTTATAGAGCCAGTTTGGTTTGGTGCCGTAAAATCTTGGTAGTGCCAAAGTTTGGGCAACTTTTAGCACCACCAAATTTGGATAGGCAAAATTTTTATTATCGAAGAGATGTGTTGTTAAAATTTGGCACCAATCCAAATAACTAAAACACAATTGAAAATTGCCAATGAATTAGTAGGGCACCAAACCAAACTATTCCACAGTGACTTACATATATAAGATTTCATCTTACAAAGCTTAATAAAAATTCTTAGATAAAATCTAGTGTATCTTTAATCAGAAACAGTGGCTGTCAAGAAATGCTTTGGATACTTCCACTTGCGCCCATCCAGATAAAACCAATGTATACATGATTTAAGACTATCCAATGTAGTCTCGCGAGTTCAATCGTATACATTTGAGCCTCTCTTCGTATGAGTTAAAATTGAAGCATAAAAATTTTAAAAAAGAAGAATTGGGGGCAAATATCTCCAACACCAATTAATTCCACTAGCAAGCTTGTATCATTAAATTCAATTATACTAATATTATAATCTACTTGAGAAAAATGTGATAGCATTATGCGATCGATACTTTAACCTTTAGTTTGAGAAAACAAAAGGCTAATTAAGTTGTAGCTTCACAAGAACTACAATCATTCAAAAAGAAAATAAAGGCATTCATAAAATATTTCGGCGTGCTGAATTTCAGCATGTCAATTAACTAGGGTGACTACGTACATATGTATATAAGCATAAGTTGACTGTCGAAAGTGAGACAACAAAGAATCACGACCACAACCCCAACCCCAAAATGCATAATAATTATAGCAAATTAGATCCACATGTTCCTTCAAGTGATAGAGAAAACGTATTAGTACCAAATTATGTGACGGATATTGTATGAAAATGGGGGTGCATGTTAGGAACGGCAACAGGGTGCAGTGCATGTGCGCCAGCGGGGTGGTGTGTGTGTTTGTGCATGTGCAAAGGCTGTTGCCCGTTGGTGGTACATGTGACCAACACAACACGGGTCGACGCGCTTGTGTCGCACTGTCTCTCTCTTCATGCCAGCTCCAATCGCAACTGCAAAAATAATATACAACCTCCATTTTTAAATAGGTAACCCCTTTAATTTTTTTCATATGTTTGATCATTTATCTTATTTAAAAAATTATGTAATTATAATTTATCTTGTTGTGAGTTGTTTCACCACTTAAAGTATTTTAAAAATAATTTATAAATTTTATATTTGTATAAATTTTTTTAAATAAGACGAATCATCAATATATGCTTAAAAGTTAAATATGTGCTTAAAAGTTAACTGTCTGGAAGTGTGAATGAAGTATATATATGTCGATCACTCGATCTTCACCGATGGCAACAAAAGGACAGCTACAGATCCAGCTGCAACCTGCAAATGCTGGGTCAGCGCTCGTGCGCTGCATTTATTTTTGTTTTCATCTGTTGCTATTTCGTTTCCTTTTATGTATTTTTCTGAATCTAAGTTGTTGGCGCACAGGTGGGTGGATAGATACCTTTGTTTTTGGAAGTTAGTACCAGCTTTTGTATGGTCCCTATGTTTTTCTTACCGGAGAGAAATATATGGCGCTTTCCTTTTTTTTTTTGGCACGGCAAGAAAATTATGGAGGCAGCTGCCCAGCGTCCACTCTAGCACGTCAATGTGTTGTGCCACGTAGACGAAAATGTTTAAGCAATCTTCTTTCTCCGATGATAAAATGGTATGAACAACTGTATAAAAAACGGTAAAATCTAAACCAAGAAGCCTCTCGATTTAGTGTTAACCAGCGACGAACCAATTGTGAGAAGAATTACTGCTACACGTGCTGATGTGCGTGCTGTTTTTTCTCTTAGACATATGTATCTTTTTCTTCCTTCTTATAAAGTTTTCTCTCAAATTACTTATCCGATTTACAATCCAATTACACCATTGTGTTCGTTACAATTAAATCTTCACAACAAGATCTTACACGATTATATTACGATGAAAAAACATTTATATTTGTAAATTACTTTTATTATATACAAGTTACTTTTATCATATATATATAAAAGTTACTTTTAGATTTGACTAAATTACTTCTATACATTCATAATGCTCTAAGTTGATTATTTTTATTATTATTTTTAGTTAATTCTATATTTTTTTGGACTTTATAAATCTTCTCTACACTTTACTTGCAAATTTACTCTACATAGTTTCTTATTTTAGCTCACTCACAATATAATTATTTCTACTACAGAGAGTTACTCCCCCCGTTTCATAATGTAAGTCATTTTAGCATTGTCCATATTTATATAGATGTTAATGAATCTAGGTATAGTTCTAAATTAAAGTTACTTTCTTTTTTGTTATAAGTTACTTTTATAATATATGTAAATTACTTTTAAGTTTTACTGAATTTACTTTTATATGTCTAAGAAGTAACTTAGTGAAATCTAGAAGTAATTTAGACATATCATAAAAGTAACTTGTGATTTTTCATCAAAATATAATCATGTGAGATCTTGTTGTAAAGATTTAATTGTTACAAACACAACGGTGTAATCGGATTATAAATCGGATGAGTAATTTAAGAGAAACTTCTCTAAGAAGAAAAAAAATACATAGATATTGAGTGTAATAGTAGCTTTTTTTTGAAAAAAATGATGTCTCTCTTTAACACTATCCAGCTAGCACTCTCTTGGTGTAGTTGTGTCCATAAAAAACATTTGAAGAGTGGCTATTTTCTAAAGTAATAAATAATTAAACTCCTCACTTTTCAATGATCATTAGATATTTTGTATGCACACATTTCCAATCTGGGTTCTTTTGGCATACGTGAAGACCGTCATAATTCAGAACAGATAATTGCTATCAGGCCAAGCCTTGGGCTGATCCATTCATATTTTTTGGGCTGGGCTTCAAAATACCCGTTTCTTCTGGGGGAATTTTGGGCCCAGATTGCATCAGCCCATCCGGCTTGGTTCCTGGGCCTGCCCCTGATGCGCACAGCCCCTCAAAAGAACAAGCGAGTTGCTCACAATTGGAATAAGTTCACCGAAGGTCCCTCAGCTTAACAGCGAGATTTTTTGAGGCCCCTTAACCATAAAACCAGAAATGTTACCCCTAAACTCACACAAACCGTTCAAAGGAGGTCCCATGGCAGTATATGTGGGTGGTTTCACTGACGTAGCATCTTAGTCAGCAAAAAAAATTTAAAAAAGTGGTTTCACTGACGTGGTTTCGGCCACCTCCGCCGTTGCGACCCCCTCCTCCGCCCGCCGTGCTCATCCGGTTGCCTGCCGCCGCCCATCGCTGCTCTGCCTGCATCCCGGCGCCGCTCCGCCCGCCTCCGTTCTGTCCACAGGCCGTGCTCGCCTGCCGCCGCCCGCCGCCGCGCGGACCCGCCGCCCGCCCATCGCCGCTCCGCCCTCTCCGCCGCCGGCCTCACTCACTGAAGAAGAGAAAGAGAAGAGAAGGAGAAGAAAAGAAAAGAAAAAAAAGTTGTGTAACTGACATGTGGGCTCCACGTACTTTTTAAATTTTTTTTGCTGACTAGGGGCATATATTTCTAATTTTGTGGTTAAGGGATTAAAAAATCTCACTATTAAATTGAGGGACCTCCGGTGAATAATGAAGACACACATCGATCATAGGTTAATTGGTTGGACGTAACTAGACAACTAGTGTTAGCTAGTTTGTCTAAACCAGCTACCACTCCATCTATAAGAGGTACCATCCACCTATACTTCAAATACAATTTTCTCTTAAACTACTCATTCGATTTACGATCCGATTACACCGTTGTGTTCGTAATAATTAAATCTTTACAACAAGATCTCACATGATTATATTTTGATGAAAAATCACAAATTACTTTTATGATATGTCTAAATTACTTTTAGATTTCACTAAGTTACTTCTTAGATATATAAAAGTAAATTCAGTAAAACCTAAAAGTAATTTACATATATTATAGAAGTAACTTAGAACAAAGGTAACTTTAGCATGTCATTTGAAGTGAATCCGTTGTAGAGATAAAAACATGACTCTATCTAGAAATTAAATTAATCAGCATAAATTATGGAATTAACTACAAAAATAATAAAAGTAATCACCTCATAGCATTATGAATGTATAGGAAGTATTTTAATCAAATCTAAAAGTAACTTACTTTTTGTTATAAGTTACTTCTACAATATATGTAAATTACTTTTAGGCTTTACTGAATTTACTTTTATATGTCTAAGAAGTAACTTAGTAAAATCTAAAAGTAATTTAGACATATCATAAAAGTAATTTGTGATTTTTCATTAAAATATAATTATGTGAGATCTTGTTGTAAAGATTTAATTATTACGAACACAACGGTGTAATCGGATTGTAAATCGGATGAGTAATTTAAGAGAAAATTATATTTGAAGCATAGATGATAGGAATATTTTCCCTACTTGCTCAATGGATTAATAGCAACCAAAACTCCTAAAGTATTAGCACGTGGGTGTCTCTGGTTAAGACTAATTGGAGAGTACTCTCCAATTAGATTTACTGTAATTGGTTCCATTATCCAGCAACAAGGAATCACACAAAGCAAGCAAGCAACAATCGAACGTGCTCACTTGCTCTTACAGTCTTACTGGCTTGCTACTCTTGTGAGGAACGGCGACGCATCTTCTCGCGTTGGGATGGACGGCAGACGACGGAAGGTGTTCGCGCTTGGGGGCGGATCGGCGACGTCTTCTGATGCGAGTCTATTTAGACTCATCATGCGCTAGCAGCGTTGCTATCTCAGCTGTGCAAATTAA